ATGGAGGGACAGAGACTTCCAACACTGCTCAGGAAAGAGATCAAGGTCCAATCTGGAGGGCAAGAGGCCAAACCTGCACAGATGGAGAGCAAGTGGCAGCTGGTAGGAACAGCCTTTCATGTGCTAAGTTTGCTCCCTGGAGGACTCTGCTCTCCAGCTCTGAAGGCATCAGCAGGATAACAACTCCTCCCCACACACAGGGAGCAGCCTGGCTCTGGGATGGCCTTAATTAACGAGGGGTAATTAAGCAGGGACCTGTCAGTAGGGAGCAGCCCTTGTCCCAGGCAGCTTTGGCAGCAGAGAGAGGAAAGAGTTTGGGCCTCAGAGGTTAAATGCACTGGTTGTACACAGACACCAACCTGTGAGGTGAAGGGTTGGGTGCTCGTCCCACCTGCAGGAAAGCAAATCATGGGAATCTTTCCTTGCTGTCCCCCAGATTGGAGCACCTCAAGATTGGCAGTGCACTGAACTCAAAGCAGTTACAGCCCTTACTGTCCCTGTGAGCAGGAAATATCAGTTCCACAGGACCTGTCAGCATGGAGCAGCTCTTGTCCCAGGCAGGTTGGGCAGCAGAAGCTCCTGCAGGAGAGGGAGGAAGGAGTTTGGGCCTCAGAGGTTAAACAGCTTCCCTACAAACTCTTAGGGATGCCAAGAGTTCTGGTGTGGAAGGGCTTGGATGAAGAATGAGAAGGATCAACAGTTTGCACATCCTCATGGAAGCACATCCAGCTCAGTCATGGAAAACCACACACAGTCAGCAGGATTTGTCTCCCATCACAGGCCTTTAATCCAGGGATCACTCCAGGCCACACCAAAGAACCAACACAATTCCCAGCCCAGCCCTCTCTCCTTGGATTCTGTGTCTCCCCAACTCAGCCAATGCTGCTGGAATCAAAGCTCTGGAGAAGTGCCCATTGTCTCTTTTTCTTTAATAAAGATATGAAGGATTTGTTTCCTGTTAAGGCAAGAATTCCATCCTGCTGCTGTGGCCCTAGTGCTGCAGCTCTGATTACACAACAGCAAAAAAAAAAGCTCAATTAACACTGAAAACTAAAATTGTACATTTTGAAGACAATTTAGAATTAGAAAACTAAAACAAATCCCCCCCCCAAAAAAATTCCAAGCAATCTCCTTCTGCTTCCCTGTCCTGAGTCCAGTTCAAAACAGATTCTGAGGTACAAGACAATAAATTAAAAGTTCATTCCAAGTGCAGAGATCAAACCAATCAACCATTGCCTCAATGGGATGTTTTCTTTATTCCCTTCCCGAATTTGGCATCGAGTCCAAGGCCTGGAGAGAGACAAAAGAAGCCAAATGCATTGAAAACTGCTCTGTGTGCTCCAAACAAGCATCAGCCAAGGAATTTGAGGAAAAATCAGCTTAAACCCCTCCAATTTCCACATGTTCCCTCAGAATTATTCACCCTATGTGAGGGGAAAGAGAGACCAAACAGATCTGCTACAGGTTAGAACCTCTGAGGGTTCCAGAACTGTTTTTTGAGTAGCTAACAGAGGAAAGAGCTCAGGGATTTGCTTCCCAGACTTACCCAGGAACACCAGGATTGTCCCCACCCACTGCAGGGAGCTGATGGGGTTGGCAAAGAGGATGACAGACCCGAGGATGGTGAAGAACTTGCGAGTGGTGGTGATGATGGAGCAGGTCAGAGGTCCAAAATACACCACAGTCATGAAAATAAAGCTCTGCAAGGCACAGACAGAGATTGTCACTCTCACTGCACCAAGGGCAACAGGGAGCATGACTGCAGGGAAAAGACACCAGGACAGAGCTGAAGGAATCTTAGTTCAAACCCTCACGAGTTGCAAACAGACTTAAAACCTGTTTGACAGAACCCCAAGATGGTTTGGACTGGAAGGACCTTGAAGATCACCCAGTTCCAAGCCCTGGCAGGGGCTGTGCAGAGTGTGGGTGTAGGTACAGCCAGAACAACCAAAGTGATGCACAGCCTTACTGCGCTGTGTCCCAGCTGGGCAGAGACATCCCTGGGCAGAACGATCCCTGGGCAGAACTATCCCTAGGCAGAACCATCCCTAGGCAGAACTATCCCTAGGCAGAACCATCCCTAGGCAGAACCATCCCTGGGCAGAACCATCCCTGGGCAGAGACATCCCCACTCACCTGGCCCAGAGCACTGGTCAGCCCAAAGAGGAGGATGTTGTAGATGATGCTTGGGTAACGTTCTGTGAAGCTCAGGAACTCCCAGAGTTCTCCAGTGAACAGTATCCCTGGAAAAAGACCAAGATTAGGATTAGGAGCCTGAGAGACACCACCTATGTTGTGTCATTTCTATGTCTGTCCCTGGGGTGGCCCAGGCAGGTTGTGTCTGTTCCCAGTCAGGGTGTCCTTACCAGCTCCCAGGAACAAGGTGGACCAGAGATTGACATTGAGCATCATGTGGTTGGAGCCTGTTTGGTAGTGAGCTCTCATATGATCCTGAGACACCCCAGTGAGCCCATCCAGGGTCAGGGACAGCAGCTGAGCAAAGACAGCAGAGAAAACCTCTGTCAGTGTTTCCTCTCTACAAGGAGAATATTCAACCTCTCCTGTTCTCCACCCTCATCACCTGTTTCAGAGGGATTGCACAGCCTCAAGCCTTGTGCTGGGAGGGATGTGAGTGCACCCAGTGCTGATCTCACACCCAGCTCAGAGCTCTCCCTCACACAGCTGTCCACAGCAGCTTTAGGACACACAGGAGATGCTGGGATGGAGTACAGTGGTACAGGTGCACACCTGGGGTGCTGAGACTTAGCTCAACAGATGATCTGCTACACCTGAGATGCTGAGATTTAGCTCAACAGATGATCTGCTATACTTGAGGTGCTGAGATTTAGCTCAACAGATGATCTGCTATACCTGAGGTGCTGAGATTTAGCTCAACAAATGATCTGTTACACTCGAGGTGCTGTGATTTATAGCTCACTATGGCACAGGTGATGTGCACACCTGAGGGACAAAGGTCAGAGCCTTATCTGTGCCCTCTGCCCAGGTCCCTGGGCTGTGGCAGAACTCACCAGGAGCAGTTCTCCGTAGCCAAAGATGTGGTCATCACCCCCAACTGCCTTTTTGGGCTTGTAGAGGAACAGAGCCACTCCTGCCACGATCAGCAGCACACACAGGTACTTGGCTGGAGGATACTTCTTCCTCAGCACTGTCACTCCTAGGAGCATAACTGCAGGGAAAGGACATCACAAACAGCTCCAGGAGCTCCTCAGGGGGGTTAAAACCCTAAAGGGACATCACTAACTGCATCCAGAGCTCCTCAGGGGGGTTAAAACCCTAAAGGAACATCACAAACTGCTCCCAGAGCCTCTCATGGGGGTTAAAACCCTAAAGGAACATCACAAACTGCTCCCAGAGCCTCTCATGGGGGTTAAAACCCTAAAGGAACATCACAAACTGCTCCCAGAGCCTCTCATGGGGGTTAAAACCCTAAAGGAACATCACAAACTGCTCCCAGAGCCTCTCATGGGGGTTAAAACCCTAAAGGAACATCACAAACTGCTCCCAGAGCCTCTCATGGGGGTTAAAACCCTAAAGGAACATCACAAACTGCTCCCAGAGCCTCTCATGGGGGTTAAAACCCTAAAGGAACATCACAAACTGCTCCCAGAGCCTCTCATGGGGGTTAAACCCCTAAAGGAACATCACAAACTGCTCCCAGAGCCTCTCATGGGGGTTAAAACCCTAAAGGGACATCACAAACTGCTCCCAAACCTCCTCATGAGGGTTAAACCTCTAAAGGGACATCACAAACTGCTCCCA